CTGCATCCATGGTTGAACCTTCGAGAACGCATGTGGCCCTTGGATCCTAGGGCTCAGGTATATACCACTTGCTTTTACGACTAGCTGGTTTACACCCTTATATGACTTGAACTTCACCTAGTCTAATGATGATGTTTGCCGAAACCTCTCGTTAAATAATCGATGTAAACCCGGCTCCTTCATTATCACCAACGGGACCAATTGAACAACTGGCTGGTCTACCTTTATAACAGGGGGACTCCTACTTCGGCGTAAACACCGATCGGGAATTGTGGGCAGTGGACCTGGCAAGTTTGCTGCTACAAACTTATTTAATTGTGTACTTTATATGCGACTGTATACGAGTCCTGATTGATTTAGCATTTTACCTTTCAGAAACTCTGCAGAGTGAGAGCGGCTTCCCGAAACCGTGAGCTAGATTGAATAGATAATACGTTTGGACCGGTGCAACCAATAAACGGATACATGATCTGCCAGTGGTGGTTGTGTATTTTTCAGGCATGAGGTTGGCAGATGGATGACATGTTTGGATATAAAGGGCCGCAGTTGGGAGCTGGATTAGTTTATTATTTACAGTTGGGGTCTTATGGTCAGCTGCGAGTACATAGACACGAATGTGTGCGGTTACGATAAGTAGCCGAGATCCGTACAACGACTACCATTATAATGGTGACCACTTTGTGACGTATTCCACCTGTGGAGCGCCGTACTCCCAATAAGAATTCTACCGTTATTTTGATAATTTACCTACATTTACCCCCTGACGTTGTATTGTCCGCAATCCGTTATGCACGTATGGGAGATGGAATCATCCACAGAGATGTCTGCCGAATCTCCACTACACAACTCATGCTGTTGTCTAAAAATGTTGTACTTGATGGAAGCTGAACACCATAGAAAAATGTGTTGTGACGAATTTCGCCAAGCAAATTAATCTCTTTTGTCAAATCTCAGGAGTACAAAGCAAATAAACGTTATTGATGTATTTTATCGGGTGGAATTCAT